GCTATTTTATTCCATAAGTGAGCAGGTTTTACACGCGTCTAAGTGTCCCACTCATCAGTGCTGACAACAGCAGTGATTCTTTTCCCTCAAAAACTGCATCTGAGAAAGCTGAAATGCCGTTAGAAACAACCCAAACCCTCTTCCAAGCTATCTGAGGGCAGCAAGGCGGAAAAAAGAAATGTTTTTCCTCTGACTCTTACTGTATTCACACCCCATTGATGCTTCACTCTGCATGCTTGCAGGTTTACCACTTCACACTCTCCAAAGATTATAATGCATCAATTATAAAAGTCATTACAAATGTACCACTTATATTGTTAATGAGCTTGGCTATAAAGGGATTTGCAACCTGAATTTCATGACAGAGCCAAGGTATAATTTGCTCTGGGCTATAAAGCCTATGAATTATTGAGGCAATTTACTTCCAAGTCTGCATTTCCTCTCTGAGCAGAAGTGCTCATGATGAGTGCATGGACGTGTGTGAGGAGGGACAGGACTGCAGGCTGCTGACAGGGGTGTTTCTGCAGCAGAACCTCATTTTGTTTCCTCTGACTTCAACAGTGCAGAATTCAAATCTAAAGGCAAATTAACCATTTACCTTCCAAATACTTTCACTGTCAAAACCAGGGACCCAGTCGTCACATCTGGGAAGAACAATTAAAGTTTAAGAATAGCCCTATCCCTCCTTTCCCCTTTATAGGCTCGGTAAAATAAACACAACACCGTGTCTGTCTACGTTGGGAGCTTTTGAAAGCGTCCCACTTGCTGTTTGAGCATCAACAAAAATCCAGAGAGTCTTGTAGGTTTATAAAATCAGATCCCACACCGAGAGGTAAACAGAGCTTTTTCAGAACACAAAACCAAACCCAAAAGAGAAACCTATGGAAAACAGCAGCAGAAATTAAGACAGAGCATTAACCTCCATTCCATGTTTTTGGATTTGGTTAGAGAGTGTTAAAACATCAGTTTAAACAAAGAAGTTCATTTTAACTTACCACGCAGTAGAATTAGGAGCTCATAATGTCCTCTTCCTCCTCATTGCAAAAATACTCACTGAGCCAGCTACTAAGCCCACTTTTATAGACATTACCAACAAGAAAGTCTCTCTTTCTCTGACTTGCCCAATTAAATGGAAAAGGGCCAGGTGATCAATGGACACTTCCATTCTGCTTCCTGCTATTTAGCATTATGCAAGGCATATGGGAGCAACATTTTCAAGCTGTTGCTTGTGTAGATCAGGATTCAGGAGATGACCCTTTTAATTAATTTTTCTGACATCTGTTCATTAAGGGGTCATTTTCTCTCACTGTGTTCCCACATGCAACAGTGATTCCAATTGATGAACTGGTCTTTCTGCACAAATACAATCTGTTCTCAAAATGGGAGGAGAGCTCTTTGTTTGCTGCAGGAATTTAAATGGAATCTGTAAATCCCCTAGTCATGGTCTGGAGAGATATAACTTCTGCAATGCTGTTGAGCTGAAGAAACATGTTAGGAGGTGTAAATAATGAACAGTTGTGGGGTAATCTGCCTCCTGAGAGGCAGAGGGTCAGGGCCAGCTTTGGTTATCAGCATTCTGAGAGGAGTCAGATGATTTTAATGAAGGGCTGAGACATCACTATTGACAACAGTGTGAGGAGCTGCTTTGGATGGCTGCAGGCTGATTAGGTCAGTAGTTTATGTTTACAAATAGTTTATGTTTGAATTAATGAACCGTGTTATAAGGCAAGAGCCTGGGCAAGACACAAGACTCTTCTTTAGGTGCTAGAAAGAAAACACCAGATTATGCCCTTCTTCCTAGGAAGTCAGGGGAAAAACTAAGTCCTTTATTCTCTATGCTGTGTCCAATGACACTTGCTTCCTGTATACACACGTGGAAACTCAGCTCCTGCAGTGCTATTCCCTCTTTGCCTGCTCTGTGCTTCTGTAAGGAAGCACAAGTCCAGTTGTGTTCTTTTAGTCTGGATAATGACTTGTGGAAGTATGCAGTCAAGGACAGGGTGACAGATTACTGCAGGGCAATTCGAACTAAAATAAACTAGCAACAGAGGTGCCTTAGAGTGAGATGGGCTTTTCTAGTAATCCCAGCAGATCTCCTTGCAGTTTGGTATGCAGGTATCTGTCAAGCACTGCTGACAATTCATGGGACAGAGGGGAAGTCAGACCGTTGTGATTACTCTCCCATCCTTCTAAAGCAAGCTCAGTCCTTGCACTGCAGAGCAATCTCTGAGTAACAGCAAAACCACGGCTTAGAAGCGCCCTCGCCTCTTTGCAACACCAAGAGCTCACCTCTGAGCAAGCTGTTCCCAGCGGTGATCTAATGCAACGCTCAGAGAAGGGAAGGACTGCCCTCTTGTGTCCGTCGCTGTTTTTTCATGTGCCTGGTTTTACATTCCTGTTTCTGCTAGTGAGGGAGCACTCGGCCATTTCCCTCCAACGGTTTCAATTTCTTAGGGTTTTTTCCCAGGTCTTTTCCTTATAGAAACTATATATATATTCATTATATACTGTACTAAATTTTTAATCTTTCACAATAATCTTTTAGAGCATGTTAGCTTGTGGCTTAGAAGAGGAATACCCCTCTTCTGTGGTCATTAAGGTTCAGAAAAACAGATACAAACTTAACATGATGGCATCAAAAATTACCATGTGGACTATTGTGTTAAATTTTGATTTTTCTACTCCCAAAAAGAGACAAGGAAAACTCAGAATTTAGGGAAATTCTTTATGTCAGTGAAAATGCGCAAAGTTCTGAAGATAAACAGCATTTTCTAAACACAGTACAATTCTGGAACTCAAAGTCATTATATTCCAGAGGCCAAGAGTCTGGAAGATTAAAAAATTGAGACCTTTATGTTAGTAATTTGATTCAAGTAGAAATGCTTTTGCCCGTGAGTAGGCTGTAAAGCACTATATTCTCTAGGATACAAGGCCAGAATTCAGCCTAATTTATTTCTTCTTTGGAAAGGCATAGGATTTGTTTCTGAGTACTATCCTGATGGAAAGGTTCAGTAAATAAAAATACATCTGCTGTATTTGTGCCTTGGAGACACCCAGGCCTGGGCATATATTGCTCTTCCAGCTAGGGACATCCAAATAGTTACACTGGGTTATGCCTCATCTCCATCTTAACACAAAAAAGAAGGCAAAGCAGACAGTAAAACAGGAGTGCAATTAAGGAGGACAGAGAAGAGACAGAAGAGAAGCAGGTTTGTTAAACCAATCTTTCCCTGCAGCCCTCGTAGTAAGCTATGTGCAAGCTAAATATAGAACCAACACTTCTCTAGGGAGCCGGACTCGTGAACAGCTCACGCACCATGAATGTGTAGCAGCGATTTTAGTCTCAGTCCTGTTGGTTGTCAGAGAGATCTTCCTTTTTAAATCATTAGTGCTCATTGCCAGGGTAGTTCTTGCAGCAATGGTTGTCAGAGAGGAGTCTTCTAAAAGCTGTGCAAGATGTGCCCGCTGCTTCTACTGCTTATTAATGACAGACGCCTAAATATTTCCAGAGGGTAGGCCCTTTTCACAGCTACCAAAGCAACTTCAGCAAAATTAAAGACCACCAGTCATATTCTTGTTGGTTTGAAGGTCAGTCAGCTTTAACTCGGACCTAGCACTCTTCACTTCATGTTACATTCGTTAACAGCACCTCGTGCTCACGCTTTCATTTCTGCTCTTAGCCCTTATAGCAATAATCCCATAGCAATGAACAGTCCTGTAGATTGCTCATGTTCTTAAAGGCAGCCAAATTAGCACCATGCTAAAGTGGTTCAAAGAAAGTCACTGCTCAAGAGTGGACAAAATTAATATTATTTAGAATATGGGAGGGGCAAGAAAGGGAAAGAGCTGTCATTTTAAAAAAGGTCTCTCACAGCCCCTGTCTTTTGTCTGGACTGAGACCACTATAATCAACTCCAAGCTGCCAGAATTAAAATGATGCACAGCAGTTATCTTTGCTATCAGTACTTCATGAAGAATCATTCCTAAAGAGTAATTTCTTTGGGCTATTGCCCAGCCTGTACCATGGCATTTTATGTTTGTACCTTATTCTAGATGGCACAGCTAGAGCATGCTTTGTTTCGCCCTGCACGTTACTGAGCTCATGTATGTGTTAAACTGGCGAAAGCTGTCAGGAATCTTTCACTTTTTCTTTTCTGTACTGGCTGAGACCCTGACGCCTGAGCAGATAACAAAGATTAAAGGCATCTTTGAAATAGTTGATGAATATTTGAAACACATTAGTAATACTTAACCATGTGTGCAAGCATCTCTTTGAGACTAATTTGTACTCTAAATCCCACCCACAAGCCAGCTCATCTTGAAAATAGAAGTCAGATGATTTAAAGAAACCTCAAAAGCAATCCCTTCGGTCTCATGACCAACAAAATAAAGTATCTTTTCTTATCTGTTTCATTCCTTGTCTCCAGTTGTGAAACATAATGCATTTCCCTCTGTGCACTTTCCTGTCCTCGTTTGCCATCTTCCTTCAGTTTAAGGAACATGTGCTGTTATTTAGCAATTTGCTGGACAGTTGATGTTCTCAAAAGAAGAGAAACTACAGCGGCTATTCAGTGTGACTTGCTAGGATTCCCCCAAACGCCAGCTTGGGAAGCTTCTGTTCCAGAACAACAACTTGGTGTTTGTGCTACTTTGACTCTGTGTGTGTGTTCCCAAGATGGCAAAATTCCCCTGAACTTTTTTATTGCCATGTGCTGGACACAAAGAATATTTTTTTTTGAATCAGAGGATGAACAGGCCATTCATGTCCCACTTCTACAGGCATTTTTAAACTGCTGTCCTTTTACTTCATTTCATACCCTTGAGGAAACTTTACCAGGAGATTACAGCAGTCACAGAAAACATTTCTTCTAACTGACAGATCATTACAAAGGCATGAGAAGAAACATCTTTCCATCATAATCTGTTTATGAAACCAAACTCTTCACGTCTTCTTTAACTCTTACAGTTCTTCCCCTCCTTCACGCCCCATCTGACGTGAGTCAGGGCTGCGGCTGCTCTCGTGTTGCATCTTCTGAATTTTCTGAATTTGCCTGTGTTGCTGCATCTCTGCTGACTGTATCAGGTGAATACTGGATGGGATTCAGCCCAGCTGGTGTCACCTGTCCAGGGCTGTCATTGAGTTTCTGGCTTGTCTGTGCTACGTCAATGCACTGTTTACCCATTTGGACAGCTTCATCGTAAGAAGGCGGCAAGTCCATTGCATAGAGACTGTAAGCTGGAGGGGACACAGTGTTCTTATCCATATCCACAAATATCGAATGGATAGGGGCACTGTGAGGGTACTGCAATGAGCTATATGCTGTGAAGAAAAGGAATAAAAAAAAAATAAACACTTGCATGGAACGCTGATATATAAAGGGCTAATCCTGCGTTTCTCCAAGAAATTATGGACTCAGTTTTGTGGTATCAGAACATATGCACTATATACTAAAAAGCTATTAGTATAGAATTACCCATGATGGAATCTATTCTCCAAAAGCAAGCAGTCAGAAGAGAAAATCTCTGCATGTCACCATCCAGTAATGATTGTGAAATACCTGACATAACACATGTATGTTGTAACAGAGGCGGTGTCATGGGTTTGTACATGAACAGCTATGGACAGTTCCTCACATTAGAATTTTGGCTGGAATAGCTGGACAGCGAAGTGGACAGAAGAGTTAAAAAAGTAAGGGAATGGTGATCAGAACAGATGTGGGAGCTGACACCTAAGAGGTTAACCCACCACAGACTTTATTTGAACCTTGACTGCGTTAAATCCCACTTGTCTTCTGCACTCAGTGTGTTGCTCTGATGACCTTTCATTATCTCTCCCGCCCACCCTATGGGGCTGAAAGTCGTCCTGGGAGTACATCAGAGTCCCCGTTATTGCAAGGGCTGGACACAGAATTCTGGGCACACGTTCAATAGCAAAGCAGTGGTGAAGAGCTGACTCTCAGAGGATACTTACAGGTCACCGTGCTGTGGGCAGTGCTGTCGCTGTCAATAGCAATAACCGTCAAATCGTAAGGGTGCCTAGGGAAGGTCTCGACTGGAAGCCTCTTCTTCCAGCAGCAGAATTTGATGCAGCTTGCTGCGATCCCACAGAGCAGGAGCAGGAACAGAGTCAGCAAGATTAACCTTGGAGAAGGAGGGACAATACCATAATTTCATTGACTATGTTTTACTTCTTCCAGAGCTGACTATAATTTCACTCTAAATGGGTGAAAGACAGGCTTTAGGGTTTAGTTCTGAATGGCTGCTGGATCCTCAATTAGAAAGTTGGATCACAAGTTGGATCATTTCATGCACTTTCTTGCAAATCATTGCTTTAGGAAAATGCTTTCAGGCAATTTAAAACCGCGTGCGAAAAGAACATGCAGCCCTGCTGGACCTCTGCACTGAAACATTCCTCCAGTGCGAGGAGCATTACCTCATCGCCAGCCAGTCAGTATTTCCTGACACTCACTGGCTGCATGCTAGCGTGTTCTGTGAAATCACCGTGCCTGCCTCCGCTGCTGCCCTCGGATGAAGGCAGGAATCACTGAGGTAAAGGCATCTCAGCAGTAGAAATCTCAGCATTAGCTCATTAGCTTTCATGATCTCAACGCTGCCTAATTATGGAGCCTTCTTAAAATATTTCATGTACCTATGTATTTTGAAACAATTCTACGTAACGGCACGTTCTAAGAAAGCAAAGAACATCAACCAAAATTAGTCCAGATGGAATGACAGCTAAAAGTAGCCAACTCACTAGCACCAGAGTTAATATATTGACAGAATGCAGACTATAAAAATGACGTTAGGATACCTGTTGTACACGTGTTAGGCAAGAGATGAATCCACTTGTGACAAGAGCTTTTACTTGTCAGTATTTCCCCCCTTTCAGTCATTCAAACAGCCAGTAAACAGGGTTGTAATCTGCTCGAGTTCAGAATGAAAATGCAACACTATCAGCTAAAAATCTCTTGTCCCTTAAAAGGGAGAAAAATGAGGACTGAGCATTAGGCCGTTGCCGAGCCCCAGCAAGTCCATGCTATGGAGCTGCCATTGTGTTCAGGAAAGTTGTCTATTTAGGAAGAACAACCGAGCCCCACAGCTGAGCTGCAGTGCACTCAGAAAGGAAAGATGACCTATCCCTAGGCGAATGCTGCACCCTGCCTGACACCTTATCTCCCCTGCGGTCTCATCTGTAACATATTCCACTGGGAGCATTCATAAAACTGAGCAGAAACCCTTGCCTCCATCCTGTCTGAGAGAAGACATTCCACTGCCTTACTACAATTACTGTTCATAATAACTTTCCAATTATTCTGGGTTAGGAAGATTAATAATAAACTTACCAGACATACCACAGACTTGTCCAACTAGACATGTTCCGAGGGCATCTGTGAAGGAAGGTAGATGATTCACTGATTTAAATACCTACAGTCAAACAGCGAATGTATGACAGGGAATAAACTTCACATGATTTCTGAGGTGAAAAAGGGGAAGCAAGCAGCAAGAGTATGGAGCAAAACTCTTTTGGATTTAGTTTCAGTGAACTGCTCTTCCTAGTTGTAAAATTACTCCAGTTGAAAACATGCAAATAATCTCACTGTAGAAGTTGGCTTCTGAGTCAATAAATGTTTTTACGGACTCGTACTTCACTGTTGCTTAGGAGAGAGAACTACAGGTACTGGACTCTTGAAAAACAAATCGGAGTTATTTGAAGTTAACTGAGATGAGGTACCTAATACCATAGGCCTGTCTGAAAATGCCAGCCTGAGACAACTGCCTACTTCCCCCCGTTATTTTTAAATTACTTTTTCATAGCTCCAATGCAACCAGAATTGTTTTTTTTGACATCTACTTACAGTACAAAAAAAGGAGAACAGCTTCTATGACACTTCAGGAGTGCAGCTGCCACAACAGTACTGTACGTAGTGAACACATGCAATAAATTTCATGTATTAGAACACTGCTTTTGGCCACAGAAGAGGATCTGTAAACTGACTTCTCAGAAGATGACACTTCGGAGTCATTTTGAATGAGAGGATCATTCACCTCAGCCTACAGAGCAAGTCCAGCCAAGTCAAATTTGTAAGTTGGTAATGATCTTAGAGATAAAAAAAGTACTCGTAACAGCTGGCTGTCAGTGAGCCATCATCCTGATCAGATAATGTCAGTCGTGATGGGAACAGGTTCGGTAACAGACATTTGAAAATGTTTGATTACTCACTGGTCAGAGTTCTTGCAGTTATTCTCCGAAGAACAGAGCAATGCCTAGGAAAGGAAAACGAGGGGGAAAAGAATCAGATAAGCAGGTGGCCAAAAGAGAAGCACCTCGACTGTCTGACGAACCTGCTTAGCAGAGTCCAGCGGCGTGAGCTTCGTGACGGCCACGGCTGCTGGCCACAGCCTCCCACGCCGCTCGGAGCTCCAGACGTCCACGCTGGAGCCCAGCACCGGGAGCTTCTTCAAGGACAAGCGGCCAGAGCGCCCCGGACAGGGGACGCCCGAGCCTCCAGGGAGCCCGAGGAATAAATAACGGCGGAGGCAGCGGAATAAATAACCGGCAATTGTCAGGCGGGGTGGCCGTGAGCAAGCGGACGATGTCGTGCCCAGCAGCGGCGACGAGGGAAAAGGCGCGGCCCCGCC